CTGACCTGTTGGAAAGTAGCTCTGCCGAGAAGGACCTGGGAGTGCTGGTGGACAACAAGTTAAACATGAGCCAGCAGTGTGCCCTTGTGGCCAAGAAGGCCAATGGGATCCTAGGGTGCATTAGGCAGAGTGTTGCCAGCAGGTCGAGGGAGGTGATCCTGCCCCTCTATTCAGCCCTGGTGAGGCCTCACCTGGAGTACTGTGTCCAGTTCTGGGCTCCCCAGTACAAGAGAGACATGGCACTCCTGGAGAGAGTCCAGCGGAGGGCTACCAAGATGATTAGAGGGCTGGAGCACCTCTCCTCTGAAGAAAGACTGCAAGAGCTGGGCCTGTTCAGCCTGGAGAAGAGAAGATTGAGAGGGGATCTCATCAACGTGTACAAGTATCTGAAGGGGGAGTGTCAAGAGGATGAGGCCAGCCTCTTCTCCGTGGTGCCCAGCAACAGGACAAGAGGCAACTAGATGATCTCCAGAGGTCCCATCCAACCTAAACGACTCTGTGATTCTGTGATTCTGTGAACACCTCTGGGCTGTTCCTTCAGTGCCCCGACAGCACCCAGACGTACCTGACAGGCAGTGTAACCCTGAGAAAGCAAACGAAGAGCAGCTGCTTTGCATGGAGGAAACATTTTCTACTATGTTGAGGCCACTTCAGTAAAACGATGCAGCAGTTCGATGATCTTATCTGCACAACACTTACAAATACAACTACATAAGGTATCTTTATTATCTTTACTTTCTTATCTGATAGCATACGTACCATCTATTTTTCTGTATCCTACCCAAATTATAGCACAGTGTGCAGATCATCTGGGTCAGCTGGGCTAAGCCAGTTATAAGCATGTCACAGAATCACAGAATGACCAAGGTTGGCAGGGACCTCTGGAGATCATCTAGTCCAACCTCCCTGCTCAAGCAGGGTCCTCTAGAGCATATTTCCCAGGATTGCATCCAGCCGGGTTTTGAATATCTCCAGCGAAGGAGACTCCACCACCCCTCTGGGCAACCTGTTCCAATGCTCTGTCACCCTCACAGTGGTCCTGTCACTGGGCACCACGGAGAAGAGTCTGACCCCCATCCTCTTGACACCCTCCCTTCAGATACTTGTACACATTGATGAGATTCCCCTCTCAGTCTTCTCTTCTCCAGGCTGAACAGGCCCAGCTCTCGCAGCCTTTCTTCAGAGGAGAGATGCTCCAGTCCCCTCATCATCTTGGTAGCCCTCCGCTGGACTCTCTCCAGTAGGGCCATGCCTCTCTTGTACTGGGGAGCCCAGAACTGGACACAGTGCTCCAGGTGAGGCCTCCCCAGGGCTGAGGAGAGGGGGAGGAGCACCTCCCTCCACCTGCTGGCAACACTCTGCCTCATGCACCCCAGGAGACCATTGGCCTTCTTGGCCACAAGCCCACGTTGCTGGCTCATGCTTAACTTGTTGTCCACCAGCACTCCCAGGTCCTTCTCTGCAGAGCTGCTTTCCAGCAGGTCAACCAATGTCTCCAGCCACCTAAAGATCACTGTTCATTGTTCTGGCCTGCAGAACTCAGATGGTGCGCTAACATGGCTAGGATGTAACTGTGTTGTTTCTGGACTTACTAATATGGCTACGATGAGAGATGACCCAGGAGCTGGTGGAGGCATTTTTGTCCCTTTGTTGCATACCCTAGATTGGGAAGGAAGAAAATATGTTTATGCACTACAGAGGATGGACATGTTCATAGGCACCCATCAACAGGTCCCAGTTCTTCTGTACCTGGAGCTCTTATGAGTCTTACAGGAGAGAGCTCTTGCACAGAACCAGCAGGGATGGTGAGGGGCTGTGTGAACCAAGAAAATCCCATATTCTGCCCTGCTTTCATGCTGCTGCATGGATACATGGGAGCAGCGCATGGCAGCAATGCCCCAGCGGTGTCTGAAACACCCACAGTGACTTGGTGATGTCTCGGCTACCCAAACGTGCCAGAACGATCTTCTGGACACGTGGACACTTGTAGAGAGGGCACTATGAAAGGCCCAAAGTCACTGCACGTGCTATGTACATCTGGATGAAGAGAGCTGGTGATCGGTGGTGAAGCTACATATCTCTCAGCAACAGCTCCAGGAGGTGAACCCATGGTAGCAACAGCCAGTGCCACCAGGCAAGACCAGCTAGTGTCATCTGCCTCCATAGCTGTGTCCCAGCCTAGCCCTGTGACATGAACCTGCTGCTCCTGCTCATTCTTAACTCACTGGTTTACTCATGTTACCAATTTTTCAGGTGCAGAAGGACTGCCTTCCATTTATACCTTTCTGTCTCTGAGTTTGTAGCATGGCTGATCCAGGACATATCTACTCTTACATTGCCTCAGCTACAAAAAAGCTAGCTGAGAACAAACCTTCAGGAATCTGCTGCCAACATAAGTACCGAATATGGTATTCGGTACATACCCGAACATGCCAGGTTCGGGTACGTACGCCATATGTAACAGACTTCTAGCCTGTGCCAGTGATTTTCCAGGATCTAAATAAGAGACAGAAATGGCAATTCCCTGATTTTTGCTGACCCTTTTTCTCACTCCTTTTGGAAACATTTGCCTTGTTTTGCTGGGAACTGCCAAGCATCTGCAAAAATGCTGAGCACTACATCCCAAACAAACTCTGTGCTTAGCACAAGAAAAGCACAACCAGGTTGTTGACCAAGGTCCTTCCCTTCAACATATCTGCAAAGAGAAAAAAACCAACCAACCAAACAAGGGGCTCTTTCTAAAAAAAAAATTATTGAAGATTTAGATGTGGCTATTTTTATCAGAGATTAATGAATGTTTTAAAAGTTTCAGTTACTTTCACAGAATCACAGAATCGTTTAGGTTGGAAGGGACCTCTGGAGATCATCTAGTCCAACCTCCCTGCTCAAGCAGCGACCTCTAGAGCATATTTCCCAGGATCACTGTCAAAGCAAACAGCAACCTCGAGCAAAGGGAAAGCAACTGTATTACCTAAAAGATGGTTCAAAATGCTCCACTAGCTGGTTGTAGTCTCTCTGCAGACTGGCCCAAGGAAGTGGGAAGAGGATGGCAATGAAGCCATGGAGGTAGAGAGGGAATGTAAATTGGAGCCGATTTTTTTTTTGGTCTCACCTAGCCTGAGGTTGTGCATCTGATGAAGGAGTCCCAGCCTTCAGTGGGTCTTCTATTCCTTCTTGGAGAATCAAACTAACAGACCGGTTTCTTCCTAAGGCTAGCTAGAAGACTACAGACATGTGAGTGTACCTGTACTGCCCGGCCACAGGATCTGTCCAGGATATGACCCTGTAAAGAAATGCAATAGGATAACACCAAACTTGCAGCTTTTTAAGTCTGGAGATACCACCCATTACTCCAGAAAATGCACTAAAAGACATGGAAATCTACTCAGAATTGTTGGGAATGGAGAGAAAACTAGAAAAGACATGGAAAGATGGGTGGGATATATGCTGCCAGGTGAGAAAGGGAAGCAGATAAGAAGAATGGATGTCTGCTGCGCGAACTATGGGGTCAGTGCCATGGCAGAGGAGGGCAAGCCAGAGAGATAGGGTAACAAGAGGTGCGGTAAAGACTCAGAGAGAAGGGGAAAAAAAACAGCTTTGTCCAGGCAACCGACCTCTCTACTGCACATTATGGAGAGAGGCAATCAGATCAGGGAGGAGAGGGATATCGTGTTGGATGAAGTGGCTGATTTGGAGATCAGTCACTGCAGTGCTGAGGTGGGGAGGAGAGGACAGCAAGCTGCTCAGCAGCCTGTCTATGTTGTCCCCATCCCTGGGCTCTGGGCCAGAATCAGGTTAGGCAGAGGACAGTCCCAGGAGCACCGGCATTCACTATCATTTATAAAAAGCCAAGGAGGATTACAATAGTAGTAATGACATGAGAAATTAAGGGTTGAGTGGAAAGAGACTATCGGGACTACTTGGCCACTTGCCTTGCTGAGACCAGAATATGAAATGCTACCACACTACACAGAGATGGGCACCTCTTCTTTCCTACGCTTCAGGGTGACCACAGGGAGCTGACAGAGTCCAAAGACTGTTGCTGCAAATCAGGAAGGACACGGACCTGCTGGTTAGGGTCGCAAGAGCCAAAGTACAGAAATATCGGAGGAGTTGCCCCTCCTCCATGCTGGATGATGGAAACAGAAAGAGCTGGTATTCAAAAGAAAATTTACTGGGCCTGAACATCTAACCCACCATGGGAGAGTTTGGATTTCACATCTAAGGTAGGGGAATGAACATAGGAACAGCTTCACCCACTCCTAAAATGAATCCAGGCCCAAGTGTGAGTCACCGTCAAACTGGATAGGCGTATCACTGGTCTCAGGGTGAAGCAGATGTTGTAGGACTTCAAGGGTGAGCACACTGGAGTGCCGGACAGAGGGATGAACTGGCCAAAGAGGGTCAGCTCACAGTAAAGACAAAAATGGGCAGATCAGAAGGACCACCAGACTGCAGAGGCTGATATCTGAAGGAGCTGGTGGCAGGGCAGCACACTGTCACTCACAGCCAGAGGTCCAGGATGTGACTGACCTCCACTTTCGCAATTCAGCTTTGCAAGTGCTTGTTTTCAGTTGTAACATGCTGTGACAGAAGTGAGCAGAAATGTGGTGGTAGGGCTGGACTCGGCTGCAGGGTCTCCTAGAGGGAGCAGGAGAGTCGATGACAAGGACAAGTCCTGTGGCTGGCACCAAGTCTCCCAGGTCAACAGACCTCCGGAGCCTGGCCCGACCACGTTATGGCAATACCTTACCAAGGAGATGGATAATTCACAATAAAGTCTGACATTATTTTATGTACCTCTTATCTAACGTCATTTTATCCATCTCCTAAACCCAAATTTCAAAATACAGTTACCTAAAAAATGAGGTAATCCCCACAGAGAAGAGTTTAGAAGCTAAAGTTTAAAGCATAAAACGGTAGTAGGTCAATATTAAGTTGCACACTAGCAATCAGAGGCAAAAATAAAGACCTTTAACTCAGATCCACATGAAGCCCTATGCATTCAAAAACACCAATAGTGTTTTATTCAGAAAAAATAACAGCTTTGCTTTGAGTACGCTCAGCATTCACATGAGATGCTATTTGCCATGATTATGTGAGGCAGAGATGCATTTGCCCCAACAGCTATAGAGAGGTGTATATAATCCTTCCTTTTGAATGCAGTTCTCAGAAGCAGTGAGCAATAGGACTACCAGCACCTCCCAGCTGCCTGCACAGCAATTCCCACTGATCTATCCTTAAGTTTCTACCAGTGCTGATTTGACCTTTGGTTTTTCCCTCAATTAGATTGTTTTCCTCTGCTTTACTTTCTCTATCAGTCCATCTTATTTAAGCTACATTTTGGAAGGTGGGGGTGGAGGAAGCTTTGCACTTTTTCCTAGGTGACTTTCTAGCCCCTTCACTCAGATGGGGCCTCTCCTTCCAGAACTTGTAGGATGGTTTATCTAGAAGTAGCATTTCATATTTTTCCATGCTGCAGCAGATAGTCCCCACTGTAGAAGGAGGTTGCCCAGGGTGAAGGAACACAGAGAGAGACAGATACTTTGAAAAAATTTGTACTAATAACAAATTATTTGAGGTTCTCTGTCCTCCACCCCGTCCGCTCCCTCTCCCACACTTCAGAGGTTCTGCATCTGAGAGGAACTCAGGACCACACAGGATTTAACACCCTTTTGTGTCTTGGGTGTAACATGATAGAAGGGGCAGGTGGAAGCATGAACCTGTGGCTACTACTGTTGGAAAACCATCCTCTGTTGTAAACATGCATTTGACAGGACATCTCAACCTCCTTTTCCTAGCAATATAAAATATAAATGCATTCTTTAGAAATACATAAACACATAATTTAACATCTGCTAGTACATTGGCAGGACTTACAAGGAAAGAAAATCACGCTGCAACCCTGGGGGGAAGCTTATACTTTCCTACAGTTTTATCTGGGTCGCTCATCAATTCCTTGCATCACTTGCACAAGCGTGATGAGAGTCAGCAGTTTTATTTGGGTTTTTAGACTGTGTTCCTGCTGTAGCACAGGCCTGTAGTGTTTATGGGTGTCCTACCTCACCATGGTTACTGCTGTAATGCTTGCTTTCAGGCACTTGCTTAGCAGAGCCTGATTCTCAGAAAACATCAGCCAGTGCCCTTGACCATAAGCAATGTTGGGTTTTGCCTGGAAATGTTATGGCTTGTAGGGTGGCCCTGTCTTCCACTAGACATGACAATTACTCCTTGGTGTTCTCAAACAGCGCAGAATTTTCTGTGGGACAGAGGTTATTTCCAGCAGGCTTCAGGCCCTGCATGTTGCAGGGCAAGGATGGGAAAGGCCTTTCCAAAAGCAGCCTCAGCCACACACGGCCTGATTTGGCCAGAGCAATTGCTGAGGCTGAAGGCAGCCGAAGATTCCTGTCATATTTATCACTGGAATAACTGTTGCCTTTTCAAAAATGTAGTTCCCAGGCTGGTCACAACAGTCTGCAGGTGTCAGGGACAGTCCTGCCCTGGGCCAGCCCGGAGCAGTGCTGAGCAGAGCTCACTCAAGTTGCTCTCATCGTTCTCTTCTGGCTCACTGCATGAGTTGGAGGGGTTGCTGCTCGGCAAACTATGTCCCGAGCCCATCCTCAGAGATGCCTGTGCCTTTGGGCCTGCACTTAGCGTGGACATGTTCCTGAGGCACAGGCTGCCTGCAGATACTGGAGTTTGCTGGTAGTTTGGCTGGGCAGAATTTCTGTGGCTGAACAACTGCGCTACCAGAGATTTCTGGAGGATTTTCTGCAGGCTTTCACAAGTCCTTTGCTTTGTGCTTAGCTGAGTGTAATGCAAATCCAACTGCAGGAGCACATCCATCTGGAGGAGGAGAGCAAAGAACACAAAGTGAATCAGAGCCCAAGACTTAAAGTAGAATTTTTTTGCTTTTTCTACAACCACTGTCAAGAAATTACAGGCTTGTCTGGCTGTTCTGCAGGCTCACAGCCCCATACTGTGGTGTGCTGGAGCAATGCTGCTGCCAGAGTAAATGAGCTCTTATATATGTTCATGACGGTTGTGGGTCTGAGACACAATTTCTGGATTTCATGACTCTCAAGGTGCCTGGTCAGGACACTGTCACTGAGAGCATCGCCTCCCCAGTATACTGCTGCAGGAGAGCAGGAGCGGAGAGGACTGTACCCAGGAAAAATGCGCCCATGCAAGGAGCGCCGTGATGTCCATCCTGGCCAAACCACACGAGAGAGAGGCAAGCAAGGGGAGGGATATGAACCACTTAAATAAAACATGCATCACAAGGTAAAAGCTGGCAGTTTAAAACAGCAGTGCTCTGCAGGGATCCATTCTCAGCCTAGCACTATTTTAGGTCTTTTTATAAAGACGGTGAAGAAATTAGAAAGTAACATATTAATGGCAGCCAAATTCCTGAATGTGAACCCCTAGCACAGGGCTGTGCCGAAGACACCTGGCTGTGCAAAGCAGGGAGATGGATAATGGAGCAGGAGGGAGATTTTCCCTTTGTATCTGGCAGGCAATGCAGGGCCCAGATCTCAAGTCTGCACTTAAAAAGCAATGCTGAATGCCTGGAAAGGGTTCAGAAAAGAGCTCCAGGAACAATCAAGGACTGGAAGAACTGCCACGCACTGAGGTACTTAAGGTACTCAGCAAAATGAGCTTGTTTCAGGCAGACAGCAACTTGATTGCATTCAGTGCAAGACCATATGGAGCAGAGGCTTTACCTGTGCAGATAAGCACCTGGCAAGATCCACGTAAGACAGAAAAAAAAAAAAATGAAATGAGAAGCAAGGTACACAATGCTGCTTGGGGAGAGATGATCCTTTGGAAGAGGCAAGCCACGGGACTAGCAGTTCTGCCTCTTCTGTTGTCTTTAAATATAGTCCGAGCGTCTTTTGAAGTCCTCTTGGTTCAAGCAAGGAGGGCTTGGTAGTAACACTCTGAAGGCAAGGGCTAATTCCTCCTGCTTCTCGAGTCCCTGGCCAGGCCGTAAGCCCAGCTCCCCGAGGAGCACACAGCCTAGTTAGACATCCTTCTTCACCTGAAACGTTTGGGTTACTCTGATCTCTGCCAGGACCAAAGCACCAGCCTGAAAAAGGCACAGGGGCAAAGGACAGCCTCTCTGGCCAGACAGTGTGGAAGGGAAGGGTGAACTAGCAGAAAGAGGCAGGCTTTTGTGCCTCAGAGATCCCTGGGCTGCTGGAGCATCCGCCTAGGCATTACCCCGCAATACAGAAGAGTCTCAGCCCAGATACTGGTCAACTGCTGCATGCAGTCCAGGGATACAGAGGGACACACGAGGCTCGAGCAGGCAGGGACAGACAGGACCAGTTATACGAGGATGTGGGAGAACTGCAGAGATTCCCATGCAGCCGCTTCTTACCTGAATTTTCTGCAGTCCGTTGAGCTGGAACACACAGTCCTGCTCCTCCTGCTTGCAAACAGAGGCAAGCAGAGATTCCACTTGGTTTGGGCAGCTGTCCTTCAAGATGTCCGCACCTTGCCTCTCCTGGGTTAGGAAAACATGGGGAAACACATCAAGTTTTCAGCATCAGCCTAGGCAAGCATAACTGCCCAGCAAACAGGCTGCTTCTTGGCACAGCAGTGTCTGGGGTTGGCCTCTGCCTTTGACTCTCTGGCTGGTAGAAATGCTGCATACCTTAACACACGTACTACAGAGCAGAAGCCAAAACCAGAAATACAGAGATATTACACACTGATCACGTGCATTTCAGTGGGAAAGACTAGCTAGACAGCCTCTGAAGCTAGGAAACTCATGGTGTAATGGGAGTCGCCAGCAGTGTACATAGGAGTAAGAGCCTGCATCACAACTACCTCCAGTGTAAGAGGTGTGTCGAGGAGGGAGCAAGGAGTTTCCCAAGGGAGATAGCTGGAGGGAGCTCCGAGTTGCACTGGGTACTGAGGTATCCCCCCGCCACCTAGAGAACTGTTAATTCTTGCTCAGATACTCAATCTTATCCAAAGCAGCTCTGTCTCTATGAGAACCTCTTCACTAATAACCATGTCTTGGACAAACAGGGATGAGGGAAATAGAGGCCTTCCAAAATAGCACCTTGTTTCGGATTTGAGCCCTCTTGGATAGGCGACAACCTGGGAACCATTTTCCACCAGTCCCTCGTATACAATTGTGGCTCTGCCAGCCGGCTCCGGTAGCTACTACAGCCCGCTCCTGCCAGCCTGGCTTGGCCAGCGTAAAGATGAAGTGGCCTGTCTTTGGCTGTGGGAGCTGAGCAGCCCAGGCAGGCTCGTTGCAGTCCTGCGTAAAGCTGGTAGAGTGCAAGGAGGGGCCGACCCTTGCAAAGCTTTCTCACCATTGGTGCAAGATGCTTCACTGAGCACACTGACACAGGAGGCTGTCTGGGACCTTGTAGGGATGCAGAGGTTATAGAAGCCCTGAGGGCCCTCACAGCACAAGGGGGCTGTAAACAGCGGTCCATGATGGGGATGTTCATGCTAGCTTTTACACACCTCCCGATTGCTGCGTGCAAGTGGACAAAGCAATTTGTTCCAGGCTGGGACACAAGGGAGAAGGTTGGGGGTAGACACTCAAATGGTTGACCCAATGCTGGCTGGGATCTGCAGGTGTTGGGGTCACTCCTGCCTGCAAGGCTGGTAGAACAAGAGTAAACACTACATTATCCCTCTATTGCTGATTTGGGAGGTCCACTGGAGGCAGGCGGCAGAAATAGCATTATCTCTGTACAAAGCAAAACCAGATCCCTTCTCTGCACTCAGCAACCTGTTACCAGAAAGATAATGAGAAACCACAGGGAGTTTTAGGAAAGATCTGGGCAGTGAATGGACTTGATAGAAAGGGAACTAGCTGTGCCAGCAAGGTGAGGACACAGCTCCTAGGGGGATAGAGTCATCCTCCTGCTGTGTTGCTTAGGGTGGCCTCATCCTGGTTTCGTTGGCAGGCCTGAACTGTGAAATGGGAGGAGACAGATTGCAATGCAGAGCACTTGCTGCAAACACACACTGCCCTCTGCTGCTCTCTCCTTCCCACCTCAGCCAGCCTCTCCGCAGGCCCTTCTCCAGGCTCTCCTCCACTCTTTGCAGCAGATCATCTGCTCTGATCTCCTATATGCTCCTCTGATATGGTCACAGTGCCTCCAAGCCCAGCAGCCTGGGTTAAACTAAACCTGGATTTCAAACAGAGATGCTCTCCAGGCACAGGGCGGATCAGCCTGGACGTGGCGGTACTGGGTCCAGCCGGCTCCATCTCACCCAGCATCACTGACATTGCACTGCAGCACGTGCTTAGGGAAGAACAGGAGAAGACAAGCATGCCCTCACCCAGGGTGAGCCCATGCTGCCACTCTCCCGCAATGGGAAAAGTGGTGACTTACAGAGCCAGAGGTGGTGTCAGCGCTTTCAGCAGCCTTTGGACTCTTATGAACTTGTTCCATTTCATTTTGAACCTTACTAGACTTGTAACACCACAATGTCCTGCTTGCTAGGAGGAAAACAATCTATCCAGTTCATGGTCGGAAGTCATCTGCATGGTCACCCTGCCACTGGTCCCCTCCCTGCCCACATCTGCTCTCTGACGCCATAACACACGCCAGAGCTGAGGCCCCTCCTCTGACTTTCTCCTTAGCCTCCCCATTGCTCTTTCCATGAGCGTTGTTCTTTGGACTTTTGCAATCCTGCCTTCTCCCGCTACATCCCCATATTTGCAACCTCTCTAATTGTCTCCCCTCTGGGGATTCATCAGCCTGTAGGATCTGGGGTTGGGCCATATTCCCTTTTTAATCCTTGCAGGCATGTACGAGGTCTGGATTAGATAATTTCTAAGTGTCTGGATTTGCAGTGGTTTTACCACCCTTGCAGACACCATGAATCTTCAATGATTAACATCACAGTGCAGTTTTTAGAAGCAAGGCAGGAGCGCTCATATCTGTGCTATTACAATGAATTCTTCTCCCTAACGCCTATTTATTGCTCTACAATTTCAAGCCCATTGCAGCTGGGCCACCCCTTTTCTTTAACCTATCTAAAAAAATACCCAGCATACTAGAAACATGACTAGCGTGAATACAATATTCCATTGCAACTGAAAACACTGCTTATGAAAAGCTAGGCAGCACCAGGACATTTGGACGGGGTGAACCACCCTGCGTCTCTCAGCGCCTGGATGAAGCAAGCCCCAAGTGTTGAACGCCCAAATTGGACACGCTGTTTCTCTGCCACAGTCCTGGCACAATTCCTACAGCACCTGTTCCTGGAAGCAGTAAATGCTCAGCACTGTGCTGAAAAGCCCAAAGTCCCTTCAGCATCCATGTAGGGAGGATCTGCCATCCAGTAGATCCCACTCTGACAAGGACTGGGTGATTAACAGATTAGACGACTGCATGATTAAATGATTTTGGATTCAACAGCCAGCCACACAATGCTGGTCTGCTTCTACACAAGGGGTTGAGCCTGCGTCTTGTTCCAGAGGTGAGAGCCCTCACCACTGGGATACGGACCCTAAGATAGAAGGGACCAAAGGCATCACGTGGCCCAGATCCTGCTACGAGGCAGATCCAGTGACACACAGCATGTCCGACAGACGCATTTCCAGAGATTTACATGGATGGTGACTCTGCGACACCTTTAGGCAAAACCTCTCCCAGACCTTCACACTCTTTACCATGAAAAAGTCGTGGCCAACCTGGATCTTCCTCAGTGCAATTTAAACCATTACTTTCTTCCATCATCACAACAACCTTTTATGTATTTGAGGGTCCTCCCTCCGCCAGTCTTTGCTTCTCTTGCCTAAATCACAGTTCTTTCAATCTTTCCTTTTATTACTTTGGACGTGTTTTAGTTGGTACACTTTTCTCATGAAACATGGGTCCAAAACTGGACCCAGTGCTCCAGCCTCAGCAAGAGCAAGGGGAGCCAGAGAGGATTTCACCCAAATCTTGGAGCTCTTGCTTATATCCTCAGCACAGTTTTCTGCCCTGCTTTCATTTCTCCAATCAGTATGGACCCGAGACAGAACTGTTACCCCAGTCATTCCCCATTCTGTGTGTACACTAGCGCTTACCCCTATCCACAGGTAGCACCTTGCATCTATCCATGCTGAATAACAGTTTTGCTCGCACCCTACATCTCCAGTTTATCAAAATCTTTCTGAAACCTAATCCTGTCTTTTAGCACCTTGTGCTGCCAAGTGTTCCAGCATCTGCACGTTTAATAAGAGAATGCTATAGCGCATTACTGAGGTCATTTATGAAAATACAAAACAGTATCACAAGCCCTGGTCTTTCAGGAAAGAAACCAACATATTTTTATAATAATATTGCCATCTTCTGAACTTCCCACCAAGGTCCTGTCATACTCCTTCAGTCACAGTCTTGCTTGTGTATTAGTCTTGGAGGTCCTCCTGGCCATTTTTAATCCTTCTTCCACTAGCATTCAGATGTCTGAGATGCTTACTAGACCAGCTCACCAGTCTCTTTCTACTTTAATGTAAATATCCTCATTCCCCTCATTTTAGGCCCCTGCCCATGGCACCACTGCTTCTACATGCTGCAGGGTTTTGACATTTGTCCACCTTGATCCTAGCTTGAAGTCTTCCCCAGTAATCTAGCAAGCCACTTTGCAAATATACTCTATCTTCTTCCCACCACTTCCTGAGTCAAAAGGACCTCACTGTGCAGAGAGGCATCTCCTCCTGCCCAACCCAGGTCCTTTCTGCCTTGCACTCCCATTCCCATGACCTTGTAACCCCTTTCCATAAACAGCTCCATGGGGCCCCATTAGGCCTTCCACGAGTTCAGCATGGGATCCTGGTTGGTTGGCAGAACAAACTTTGGCAGCCCTTAGGTGTCATTTGGGCTCCTGGGGACAGCACCTCTTGAGATGTCTCCTCCAGTCAACAGCAGGTCCCTCCATCTGCTATCACCCACAGCAAAGAGTCACCAATTATTGTCAATTTTGGGTCAACTGGAAAATAAAAAAAAAAAATCACCAAGTCCTTATGTCAATCCCTAATCCCAAGGGAGCAATTAAAGCCCTGAAATGTGTGAACAGCAAACTGCTATCAGCCAAGGGGTTTTTAATCTCGCAAGTACATGCACTCTGCTAAATTCCCAGCCTCAATAGTCTCCTGTTCCATTGACTACCACAATCTGATTACAGTGGATACAGGCAAGTATTTCCTTCTATTAGTATTTCCTTCATCATTTCTCGCTGTGTAGGAGTCAGGAAATGGAGAAAAGGATTATCTAAATTAATTTTTCTACTCCATTCATAATAGATGTTTCTATGGTAAAATCCCCATGGTGGGGATTTTAGTATTTTTTTAATGAAGATGATGTTCAGGAATTGGCAAGACCAGAGTTTTGGCTGGCCCAGAGTTTCAGGTATTGTGAACGAACTGGGGAAAAGGTGACTGGAGACGCCATTAGGTCAAACAGCTCCAGATCAAGTGACTTCACTTGAAAACAAGGGGTTTCAGGGCAAAAGTTTAAAAAAAAAAAAAAAAAAAAGGGGGGC